ATTTTGGTTTAAATAATGTTCAAAAAAGTTGAGATTATTTAATGTAGACACAATTATTCAAAATAGATGATATATAGAATTAAATAATCCAATTATAGATGCATATTACAATTATTCTTTTTTCAATTAAAAACAAGTACCTTATATTTTTAATCCTTTTTTCACATCCAATTAAAACAGACCTTATTTGAGAGTCCAAGGATATTAAGCTCATGCATAGCTAGGGGTTTCTTAAACCATTGTGTCCACTCTCTGCCAGGCACCATTCCACATGTTTTATCTCATTGCATCTTCACAGTTCTCTAAGGTAAGAATTATCATCTCCATTTCAAAGTCAAAAAATCTAAAGCTTAGAGAAGTTAGGGAATCTCTAAAATAACAAAATAAGTATATAAACATTCAATATTAAGTGAATCTGATTCCATTAGGCATTCCTTTAAATTATACTGCCTTTGGCAATATCAATAGGCAACTTAACTTCAGGGTAACAGTCCAGAGCAGGGGTCAGCAAACTATATCCAGGTTAAGGTAACAATTTCAGTAAATAAAGTTTCCTTGGGACACAGTCACACCCCTGTTTTCATGTATTGTCTTTCTACTTTTGCACTATAATGGCAGCCCTGAATAATTGCAACAGAGATCATTTGGCCCTTTTCAGAAAGCCTATGGACCCTAGGTAGACAACAGTGATCTCAATTGCGCATTATAATCACCTAGAGCTTAATAAAATACAGATTGCTGAACTCCACCACCAGTTTCAGATTCAGAAGGTCTGGGGTGGAAATGAGAATATGTATTCTCTACACACATATGTTATGTATGTAATGTTAATGCTGCTTGTCTGGAGACTGCACTTTGAGAATAGCTGACCTAAAAGTATAAAGAAATAATCTTGGTCTTAGCTCAGGGGTAGTAAATGAGGTCTCAGGTTACAGACATTAGTTCTTATTAGAGTTTCCATCCTCTGATCATGTGACCTTGGATAAGATAAAATTTCTCCCAAGAGGCTAAATGGGTAAGGGGAAAACAAGGATAAGGAAAGAGAGATAATGAGATAGAAAATCACATACCAACAACAAAAAAAAAAAGGTGGGAATGTTACAAAGTTCATTAAGATTTCTTTGTAAACCACAAAAACATTGTTAAACAGGAACATCATAGTAGATTCAAACTTCCAGTGATGGCTCTCCTTCTGTAACAGGGTGGTCCCCAGGAAAGGGGGAGGTTCCAGGTTCCCTGCCCCACCCAAGGGAGGGTAGAGCTGAGCAGGGAGAGAAGCAGCAACAGAGGAGACTGAGGAAGGAAGGAAGCAAGATGGAGCCAGAAGGAGACCTGGAGGAGGTGCATGGAGCATAGAGACACGTGAAGAAACTGCGCTTGTCTTTTGGTCGTGGACTGGGTGACACAGATGTGGGTGAGACCTGTAGGGAGGAGACAATGGCAGCTTTTATCTTGATGTTGATTTTGATCTTTTCCTTCCGGGCTTGTCTGGTTGTTTCTGGCCCTTTTCTGTGGGTCCCCACTGGAAGATGCTTTAGACTTGTGGCAGGCTTTGGGGACTTGCTCTGGGCCAATCCCATTTGAATGGAGTTTTACCCACGAGGGGACATGTAACTTTGGGTGCTTGATTTAGAAACTAGATTCTTTGCCTTTCCTGTATTGTTTCCTAATTGTATTAAAGTTCCCTCCCATTAAAGTCTCATGTTTTGAAAGGGAGAAAGCACAAATAAACAGAATCACAAATGAAAGAGGAGAAATCACAACGGACACAGCAGAAATCAAAAGAATAATCAGTAACTACTATGAACAGTTATATGGAAACAAGTTCAACAATCTAGAGGAGATGGACAAATTCATACAACTCTACAATCACCCAAAGCTAGATAAAGAAGAAATAGAACACATAAACAGACCAATTACAAGCAGCGAAATTGAAATGGTAATCAAAAACCTCCCCAAAAACAAAAGCCCAGGACCTGATGGATTTACAAATGAATTCTACCAAACATTCAGAGACGAATTGGTGCCTAGCCTTCACAAACTCTTCCAAAAAATTGAGAAGGAAGGGACAATACCAAACACGTTCCATGAAGCCAACATTACACTAATACCAAAACCAAACAAGGACAACACAAAAAAGGAAAACTACAGGCCAATCTCCCTAATGAACACTGATGCAAAAATCCTCAATAAAATTTTAGATATCAGAATCCAACAATGTATCGATAAGATAATTCACCACGACCAAGTAGGATTCATTCCAGGGACACAAGGATGGTTCGACATCCGAAAATCAATCAACGTTATAAAACACATCAACAAAAAGAAATATAAAAACCATATGATAATATCAATAGATGCTGAGAAAGCTTCCGACAAAGTGCAACACCCATTCATGATAAAAGCCCTTGAAATTCTTGGGATACAAGGAACATACCTCAACATCATAAAGGCCATATATGACAAGCCAACAGCCAGTATCATTCTCAATGGTGAAACTGAAAGCAATTCCATTAAGATCTGGAACAAGACAAGGATGTCCACACTCACCACTGCTTTTCAATATAATACTGGAAGTCCTAGCCAGAGCAATAAGACAAGAGAAAGACATCCAAGGAATCCAAATAGGAAAAGAAGAAGTCAAACTATCACTATTTGCAGATGATATGATAATATACATAGAGAACCCCAAAAACTCCACAGAAAAACTAATTCAGCTCATCAATCAGTTCAGTAAAGTGGCAGGATACAAAATCAACACGCAAAAGTCAGTAGCCTTCCTATACACAAACAATAAATCTGAAGAAGAAGAAATCAAAAAAACCATCCCTTTTATTATCAAAACAAAAAAAATCAAATATTTGGGAATAAATCTAACAAAAGAGGTAAAGGACCTATACAAAGAAAACTATAAAACACTGTTAAAAGAAATAGAAGAAGACACAAATAAATGGAAAGACATCCCCTGCTCATGGATTGGAAGAATTAACATCATCAAAATGGCCATCCTACCAAAAGCAATATACAGATTCAATGCTATTCCAATAAAAATTTCAATGTCATTCTTCAAAGAAACAGAACAATTATTGATGAAATTCATATGGAATCACAAAAAACCCCGAATAGCCAAAGCTCTCCTGAAAAAAAGAGAAGGGAATGGAGGCATCACACTCCCAGACTTCAAACTATACTACAAAGCCATAATCATCAAAACTGCATGGTATTGGAACAAGAACAGACACACAGACCAATGGAATGGAATAGAAAATCCAGAAATAAACCCACAGATTTATGGTCAACTAATCTTTGACAAAGGAGCAAAGACTATGCATTGGAGCAAAGAAAGTTTGTTCAATTAATGGTGCTGGGAAAACTGGGTCGCTACATGCAAAAGAATGAAGCTTGACCACTACCTCACACCATACACAAAAATCAACTCAAAATGGATTAAAGAACTAGACATAAGACCTGAAACCATAAAATATATAGAAGGAAATATAGGCGAAACACTACGTGATTTGCATATCAAAGACATCTTTACAGACACATCACCCAAAGCAGTGATAGTGAAGGCAAAGATAAACACCTGGGACTACATCAAATTAAAGAGCTTCTGCACAGCAAAAGAGACAATAACAAAAACAAAGACAAACCCCACCGACTGGGAGAACATTTTTGCACACAACACTAATTATAAAGGACTGATCACAAAAATCTGCAAAGAGCTGATGAGACTCAACAACAACAAAGAAATAATCCAGTCAAAAAATGGGCAGAAGAGGTAAAAAGAAACTTCTCTGAAGAGGAAATGCAAATGGCCAACAGGCATATGAGAAAATGTTCAACATCACTTGTAATCAGGGAAATGCAAATCAAAGCTACCATGAGATACCATCTTACACCAGTGAGAATGGCACATATTAAAAAAACTAGCAACAACAAATGTTGGCGAGGGTGTGGAGAAAAAGGAACTCTTCTGCACTGTTGGTGGGAGTGCAAACTGGTCCAACCACTATGGAGAGATGTGTGGAGATTTCTGGACCTACTAAACATAGAGCTTCCATATGATCCAGCAATTCCATTCCTAGGTATTTACCCAAAGGACACAGAAACATCAATTCCAAAGAACACCTGCTCCCCTATGTTTATAGCAGCACTATTTACAATAGCTAAGCTTTGGAAACAGCCCAAATGCCCAAAAATAGATGACTGGATCAAGAAGATGTGGTACATATATACCATGGAATATTACTCAGCATTCAAAAAGATAAACACATGCAATTTGCAGCAACATGGATGGCGCTGGAAGGGATCATGCTCAGCGAAATAAGCCAAAACGAAAAAGAAAAATACCGGATGGTCTCACTCATAGCAGGAATCTAGAAAACTTAAATAAGGGACCAGGAAAATGAATAACTGTAAGAAAGTAAAAATCAAAATCAACAAAAAACTATGAACCAGAGACACTTTTTGGGGAGTGGGGGGCGGGAGGGGAGGGATTGGGGTCAGAATGGGGGGGTTGCAATTGTATGGGGAATATAAAAATAAAATTTATTATTAAAAAATAAATAAATAAATAAATATGCAAATATGTAAATAGATAAAAATAATAAACATTGTATCCATTATATCTAAAAAAAAATAAAAATAAAGTCTCATGTTTTGTGTTGATGCAGCGGATGGCAGAACCCATTTAGAATAGGCAGGTTTGTGGGGTTTGGGCTGCCCCTCTCCCTGCCCTGTAATGGATTAGAGGAAGTGATAAGAGAAGACAGACACAAATATTTTGATGTGCTATAGACTTAAATGTTGTGTCTTATCTGCTCTCTATTTTTTTAAAAAGTGAAAGGTGTCATGAACATTTAACATGAAAGTGATTTTAATTTGACATAAATGTAAAGTCTAATTTTAATGTAATATCTAAAATGAATGAAAAAGATTAAGATACAGTTTCAAATATTAACTTTTATGGTACAAAACTGAATAAATTAGAATAATACCTTTAGAACAATCTTCTGAGCTGCAATCTTGGAACTTTTATATTTGACATCATGCTGTGGTAATACCGTTTGCCAACCAAGCTTTTCTCTTAGTCTATTAATATGTTTTATCACATCATCACCTTTTGGTTCTGGTTCTGATTTAGAACATTAAAAAATATCTAATGTAAGTGCAAATGTAGATATCATTTAAGGATAATATTCTAAATATTTTTGCAGAGAGAAAAAATTTAAATGATAAATTATACTTAGAGTTTATACAGACTGTATAATTGCAGGAGAAAATATAAAATAAAAGTCAATTTTCACAGAAGCTGGAAAGAAGAAACAGTATTTTTTTCATTTAAGAAAGATACCACAAAAGAACTACTTCTACAATTACATAGGGAGGTAGTAGTCAGCAAGAGAAAACACTAAGAAGGAGCCAGTTAAAAGGCTTTTCTTAATCAAAAGAAGGGGGGGCAGGAGTGAGGGTTATGGGAGGCTTATTGACTTAATACAATATTCATTATCTCAGTTTCTGTGGGTCAGGAATTCAAAAGGACCTTAGCTAGGTGTTTCTGATTCAGAATCTCTCATAAGGTAGTATCAAAATGTTGGGTGGGACTATATTCACTGATCTGAAGGCCTGAGTGGAGCTGAAGGATCACTCCAGGACAGCTTGCTCAGAGCTGTTAACTGGAAACTTCAGTTCACTGAATTGTTAGCTGAATTCATTTCTTCTGGCTGGATGACTGAGGATCCCATTTTCTTGCTAATAGCTCGGTACTAGTCTCAGTGGCTAAAGCTGGGTACTAAACTCAGCTATTCCATTCCTGCCATCTGGCCCTTTCCACAACGCAGCAGTTTGCTCCTTCAATGGGGGTAAGATGTCCTCTGTTAGAGGCTCATCTGATTAGATGAGACTTGCCCTCCATAATCTTCCTTTTGATGAACTCAAAGTCAACTGATTCAGAGCTTTAATTACATCTGAAGAATCCCATTTTGCCATATAAAACAACGCAGTCATAGAAGAGATATTTCAGCATATTCAGAGGTTCTGCCTTCACTCAAGGAGAAGGAATTAATTATACAGGGTGTATACACCAGGGGATGGGAATACTGGAAGACATTGTAGGAATCTGACTACTACAATTTCCTTTTACAAAGTTGACAAAACATTGACATCTGTTAAATTCAAGTACATGCATATATGTTAAATTATATTTTTCTACTTTTTAATGTTTAAGTTTTTTCATAACTCTCAAAAAATCTCTTTAAAAAATCCTAAGTACTAAATTCTTTATCAGTCAATATTTTAATAGGTTTATGGAAGTTAAATGAGAAGAGCAAATAAAGAAAATATAATCAGTAAGAGATTAGATTGTCAAAAAAGATAAACTCATGCCATTTGCAGCAACATGGTTGGAGCTGGAAGGGATCATGCTCAGCGAAATAAGCCAGAAAGAAAAAGAAAAATACCGGATGGTCTCACTCATAGCAGGAATCTAGAAAACCTAAATAAGGGACCAGGAGAAAGACTATAATGAAGTAAAAATCAAAATCTACAAGCAACTATAAACCAGAGACATACTATGGGGGCGGGCAGGGGGCCTGAAGGGATTACAGTCAAAATAAGGGAGGTGGGAATTGTATGGGAAGGGACTATAACCAAGATGAAAATGTATGCATTGTACAAAAATGATGTAAAAAAAAATAAAATAAAATAATTAATTAATTAAAATAAAAACATTAGATTATTTTTGTTTGGCAGCCATTATGTTTAAATTGTTGCCCTTTGTTACACTGATATCAATTTCCAGACAACAAAGAACAATGTGAGCAAGTGCTAGGAATGTGTAATGCACAACAACAGTTACTGCATTTGTTGCAACAAGATCCATCCTGTCCGTTTTCCAAATGTATAACAAATTACCATAAATTAAGTGTTTTAAAGCACATTTCTGTGGGCCAAGAGTTTGGACATGGCATAACTGAGCCCTCTATTTGGATCACAAAGCCTGAAATTGAGGGGTTGGCTAGGCCTGGATTCTCATTTGGAGACTACCATGTGTAAGGAAGTGTTAGGGGGAAAGGATGTCCTGAGTTAATTCCATACAGGCTTTGTGGACTCCACCCCTACTCCAGACCAAAGCCATCAAGAAATTGGGAAAGACAAATCCCATCACCACCAAAGGAAAGGGTGCTGGGACCTGAGGGCAGAGTTAAGCAGCCAGGTTTGGTATAAAAACCAGACACGTGGGCCTTGGGGTCTCTCTCTCGCTTGCCTCTTGCTTCATAGCTCATGGCTCGCGGCCAGCTCTCAGAGTGCCATTTGGGATTCCAGATCCACGGATCGGTTAGGACGCATTTAAGACTTTATCTCCTATTTTTCTCCCTGAGTTGTACATTTTCCTCTTTTCCCCTTCCCTTGTGAATAAATCTTTTATTAGCCTTTTGTGTGTGCCTGCAGTGGGATATTAAGTCCCTTTTAAGCGTGTGGGTGAGGACCCATACTCAGGCAACCTGTTTTATATCGGGGCTGCCCTATAACAGAAGGATCTGTTTCCAGGACAACAGATTCATTTCCATGTGGCTGCAGGAGTCCAAGCAGCTTGTTTCTCCAAAGGGAGCAGGGAGAACCTTTTGAACAATTCCACTAGCAGGACAGTCTTATGTCACATAACGTAATCAACTGAGTTAGAGCTTGACCTTTGCCACATTCTATTGGTTAGGAGCAGACACAGGTCCTGCCCACACTCAGGGGCATGAACATCACTACATCTATGTAAGTTTTGCGCTGTCGGAGGCCTTTGTAATTTTGAGGATATTCTTTTAAAGAAATGAAGCCTGTGTAAGAGAGTGGCCTTGAAATTTAGGTTTTAAAAGCTTTATGATAAATCTGCCTTGTACCATGGTATTTCATTGAAAAATAGAAAAGTTTCTTTTATCCTGTAAAACTTAAAATAATAATACAATTAAAAATTTTAGGTACAGAGAAAGTACAAACTGGAAAATGTTATTGGAGGAAAAATCTATTTAAATAAATTATTTATTTGGAGATTTAAACTTTATGTCAAGCAAAGACACATTATTATTAACTCTAAGGACACTATCAAGATTTACTAAAAAGGGGCCTCCCCTGGTGGCGCAGAGGTTGAGCGCTGGGCTGAGAAGCTGCCCACAGCCTCTGAAGTGCTGGTTTGATCCCCATGGCGCAACAGACCTCTCCTGTCTCACTCGCTGCTCCCCTCAGCAGTGTATTTCATTGGTCTGCCTGTTCTGTTCCCTGCTCTGGCTCTGGTGAATTCTCTCACCCTCCCGCGCTTCTGACTGTACCTAGTGCTTGTATAAATAAATAAATAAATCTTTAAAAAAAAAAAAAGATTTACTAAAAAGGTAAAACAAAAGTATGCAACTTCACTTTATAGCTCTAAGGTGTCTTATACCTTTCAGAGATGTCTTAATTAAGAACATAGTCACTGAATAGTCTCCATCAGTTTTTTAATCTAATGATATCTTAGCCTTTAAAAAAGAATTAAGTTTTTAACTATTATTTAAGAAACCAAACACATAAAATTCAGTAAGACTGTGTCAAATACAAAGACAGAACCAAAGAATAATTTGAAGAAGTGTAGCATCTTCCAAACACACTGGGTTAATGGTCCACATACCCATTCTGTCAAATGACACAATCTTGGTTGCCCTAACTTTTCGACAAACATGAGTTTGATCCTTTTTTCCCTTTGATTTCTCTTTCTTCTTCTTATGGGGAACTGGTTCTGGAGCAAGTACATCTTGTTGAATTATATTTTCTTGAAGGTAATCTAAAAATAAAACGGACATTGACAGAATAACCAGCATGACCGATAAATAATACCATGGCAACACCACCAAGTACACAGCCAGTCTTTACATAAGAGGAATACTATAGAACTGAAGAGCACAGGTTCTAAGTCAGATCCCTTTGCTTCCAAACTCAGTTACACGCTTTTACCACTCATAGTTCTGTGTTACTTTGTGAGTCACCTGCCTGCCTTAGTTTATTCAGTTTTCAAGTAAGGATTATTATAATAAGAAGCTCACAGAGATGAAAAGAAAAACAGAGGGGGCTCCCTGGTGGCTCAAGGGGTTAAGTCTCAGCACTAAGAAGCTGTCAGGAGCCACTGTAGCATGAGTTTGACCCCCAGCCAGGGAGCTGACCCAGTGGCTCAGCAGAACTCTCCTGTCTTGCCTGCTATTCCCCTCAGCAGTATATTTCAGTAGATCCACCTGTTCTGCTCCCCACTCTGGTGAACCCTTGTCAGAGGATTCTGGTGAATCCTCTCATTCTGCCCCCCACCCCCAAACTCTGGTGCTACATCTCAGCTCTTGCATGTATAAATAAAATAATTTAAAAAGAAAAAAGAAAAACAAAGCTAAGTCTGGGAGGGGAAACCAAACAAAGACAAAGAATTTGGAGTTCTCTGAAGACAGTCCCAGAGAGATGATGCCAGGAATGTGACAGAGAAAGAAAACAGAAGAGTAAATAAAAAAAAAAAGAACCTCACAGAGTTGTGGCAAGGATTAAATTAGTTAACACATTTAAAGCACAGATAAGTGCTTACTAAGGTGAATTTTAGTTTATTTTATTATTAAACTTTAAAATGTGAATCCTGTGAAATAAATGCATAACCCCTTTGACTCAAATTTGACAGCTGAATCCAACTGTACTTGTTTAGCTACAAAAGCAGGAAAAAAAAATAGAACCTATTTCCCTTACTTCTTCTAGAATAGCTGACTGGTGGATTTTTCAACTTCTAGAAGGATAGGGAAATTATTTTAAAATAGAGACTTTTAGAAGCAAATAAAATTTACTTGTTCTTTTGGGGGTCAGTCCTCTCTTCCCCAAAGGGGTGAGACAGAAAGGGTCAAAGAGACTTTTCTTAATAGGCCCTGAATAGGCCTCTTGTCATCCTGGTATGGGCTCTAGAGATTAATCAAGCCCCTGTGAGCTTCAGGTGATCTGTTATCATTACTTAAATAATGCAGGTTGTTTTGTATTATAGCTGGGAGAAGTTCTGTTCTTGCCAAAATTCTCCCCCCTTCCCTAATAGGAGATCATCATGTCCTGAGCTTCTGCCCCTTTCCTAACCAAAAAAGTAATCACTGATCACTGCTCTTCCTTTTATGACCCAGAACTATGCAATTTGAGGGTCTTCAGTTACAGGTTTACAGGTAAACATGTTTTCTCTAATAATCTCATCTCACCCCCTTCTTGTCTGTCATGTGAGGACTCCCCTTTTTTCCTGATACCCCATGCCCCAAAACACAGAATAAATACTCCTGCTGTGCTCCATTATTCCTTAGAATTTGCATTGGCTTTCCTTTGCTAACTCCTCTGAAGCTGTTTTGATTACTCATACAGTCTGAGAGGAATGCAGAGGACTAAGGAATGATTTCTTTTGCACCCCAACATTTGTCTCATTCATTTAACAATTAGTTATGTACTGTGAGGCACTGAGTTACAATCCAGTAGGGAATAAGACACAAAAATTACCAACAAATCAAAATGAATATAAATGAAAGCCAATAAATTCTCAGCTAATTCATATATTACCTAGTTCAGAGGAGGAGAAAGAGGAGTAGAGAGAAGGAGGATTCCCCATTTGTATAATCAGAGATCATAGACCTGTTCCAAGAAATCAAATGTCAAAAGATGTTAAGCACTTTAATTGTGCAGTGGGGACAGTGCCAAGGACAAGACAAGAGACAAGAGAACAGAAAGACTGTTCAGGAGATCTCGATGAGAAAATGTGGGCTTCAGTGTGAGAGTCGAAGGGCTTGGACACAGGCATTTCATCTGTGGGACCCCAGACTTATCCACACTCTGAGGCCTGAATCCCAAGGAAGCCTAGTGTTATGAACATGGAGGTTTCAGGAGCCCCCACATTGTTGAACTATTTGCTTAAACTATACAATTCTCACAACATTATATTTCCAAGCTATCTTTGCAGAATATCAGGACCCTGTGGACACCAAAGGAGGAAGCAGCAAACCCCAGAATCAAGCTGGTTAAGATCAGATTAAAGTGCATGCACAGGGGAGAAAAAGGTGACGAAAGTAACTGAGAGATCATTATAATGTTAAAATCCCCACTGCTGGGTGGGATTTAGCTGCCATTTCCTGCACATGAGATGTATGATGAAGCATGATCACAAACTGAGCAGACACCAGGAGAGGAACCCCCAGAACACACCAGAGGGAGGAACACTGTGCTGTGGCAACCACGACCACGCCCCTGATCTCCTTGATGACAACTCAATATAATCAGTTCCTTTGAAGGCAAAATGGGGCCCCTCTCACACCCTGGAGCTCTGCATCTTGCTCTTTTGCCCTGAAATAAACCTCAGCCCCTCTTAATGGAGTCTGGAGTCCTTATTTCATTCCTGACAGGGGTTCTCAAGAGTCCAACAGGCAGGTCTGGTATCTGGAAATATACAACTTAACCCAGAACCCCTGGCTCCCGTTGGGTGAAGCAGTGAGCAGCAGAAACTCACTTGGGTTAACTTCTGCTTCCATAGGCTTGGGTGATGGGTAGGGAGGAATGTGGAGAAGTACCCAGGACCTTGGCAGATGAGAGCAACAAAGGAGGTCACAAAACAGCCAGTAGGCACTGAAAACTTGAGAGAATGTCCACTCACTTTAGGGTCTTAATATCTTCCCCCGACCATACACACACACACACACACACACACACACACACACACGATGACAGATTTGAAAGAATAATGTAAAATGTAAATTGCTATGGAAATGTAATATATTTTTGGTAGTGGTAATACCATTAATGTTGTTTTTATTATTATGATCATTATTTATATTAAGTTCCCTTTAAAAGGCAAACTTGGTGTCTGATGGTACTGCTTGCTGCTGTGACTAACGAAATTAGCAAAAACACTAAGCCAGGTATTTTGAAAGAAGAATCTACTATTGAAATATACTTCATTTGTTTTCTTGATTCAATGCTATGAAAACTTTCTCTCTGAGCCATAAAAGAAAACAAGTCTACATGCCTGCATGATAATCTTGATCAATCTCCTCTGTTTTCTCTGATTTCAGTGGTACAGAGCATGTTCTAAATGTTTTATATTTCAATGTTTCCTTTTCTCTTGTTTTAGCTGCTTGATTCTTTGGTGATGTGACATCTTCGGGAAGTCTAATATAACAAAAAATAAGATGTTATGGTTAACATTCTCTACAACTTAAGAGTTTAAATCTTTATTCTGTACTGTACAATGTAATATTTATCCTTTAAAGCAATTTTTGACAGCTACTTTGAAAATCAGGAATGAAACATTTATATTAGGAGTCTAGTTAACTGCTAAATAAGTGCCACTGGTATTATCATTGAAGTTTTAAGGTTGGAAGGGACTTAAAAAATCTTCATTCTAATTTTAAAAGATGAAGAAGTGTTACCTAATGAAATTAATAAAAGAGCAAGGTAAAGATGCAGTTTTATGAAACTTAATATATGAATGTATTCCTCTATAAAACCAACAGCAGCAACAACAACCTGTTATCAGGATTAAAACAAATATATTTCCATAAAACATCAGCCAATTGTTTACTTGGTACATGTTAGGAAAACCTTTTCATCAGAACAGATTCCAAAATCAGTGCCTACAACTGACTTGTGTAATAGACCTTATTTTTATAAGGCAATAGGAATGCAGGGTTCTACAATCCATATTTATACTTTTCATTGGGAAAAAATACCCACTGGTATTTAAACAAAACGCTTCATCACACAATATAGCATAACTTCTTTGAATTTGTTTATGGAGAGCTTTATTAGGTTTTCTTAAATCCTTTTCCTTTACTGACCTTTTGAGTCCCTTGTGTTTTATAAACACCTTCAATAGTTTCCTCATCATTGAAATGTCTATCCATGTGCTGTATTTCTTGTGTGTGTGCACACGCACACACACACGCATGCTGACTTTTTTACTATTTACTTAACGTGTTTAGTTCTTTAACAAGTTGGATAATTATCTTTTGTCATCTTATATGTATTGAAAATATCTTCTGGTTTGCATAAAATATATAGAAGGAAATACAGGCAAAACACTACATGACATACACCTCAATAACATCTTTAAAGACACATCACCCAAAGCAGTGATAGTGAATACAAAGATAAACAGCTGGGACTACATCAAATTAAAGAGCTTCTGCACAGCAAAAGAGACAGTAACCAAAACAAAGAAACACCCTGCCCCCACTGAGAGAAAATTTTTGCACACAACACTAATGATAAAGGACTGATCACAAAAATCTACAAAGAGCTATGAGACTCAGCAAAAACAAAGTAAATGATCCAGTCAAAAAATGGGCAGAAGAGATAAAAAGGAACTTCGCCAAAGAGGAAAGGCAAATGGCCAACAGGCTTATGAAAAAATGTTCAACATCACTTGTAATCAAGGAAATGCAACTCAAAACCACACTGAGATACACCAGTAAGAATGGCACATATCAAAAAAAAAAAAAAAAAAAAAAACAAGCAACAACAAATGTTGGCGAGGATGTGGTGAAAAAATAACTCTCCTACATTTCTGGTGGGAATGCAAACTGTCCAACCACTATGGAGAGCTGTGTGGAGATTCCTCAACCTGCTAAAGATGGAGCTTCCATATGAACCAGCAATTCCACTCCTAGGTATTTACCCAAAGGACACAGAAACATTAATTCCAAAGAGCACCTGCACCCCTATGTTTATAGCAGCACTATTTACAATAGCTAAGCTATGGAAACAACCCAAATGTCCAAAAATAGATGACTGGATCAAGAAGATGTGGTACATATACACAATGGAATATTCTCAGCAATCAAAAAAGATAAACTCATGCCATTTGTAGCAACATGGATGGAGCTGGAAGGGATCATGCTCAGTGAAATAAGCCAGGAAAGAAAAAGATAAATACCAGATGATCTCACTCAAGAAACTATAAACCAGAGACAAACTAGAGGGAGGGAGTAGGATCAAAACAAGGAGGAGGGTGGGAATTGTATGGGGACTACAACCAAGATGAAAATGAATACATTGTGCAAAGATGAAAAATGAAGTAAGAAATATATATAAAATTAAAAAAAATAATAATAATAAAAAGAAAATATCTTCTGGTTTGGACACAACGTGTTTTGATAAAGTCTTGACAAAACAGAAGTTCTTAACTTTGTATAATTGAATCTCAAATGTATAGTTTGGATTGTGTCTTGTTTTAAGAAATCTTTTCTCTAGATGTCTGTTAAGCCCAAATGCTCTAGGTCCTTATTTAGAGCTTTAGTTTCTTTACTTATTTTTTGTCTTGTTGATCTATCCATTGTTGATAGTGGTGTGTTGAAGTCTCCCACTATGTATGTGTTTTCTCTGATGTCTGTTTTCAGAGAGGACAACAGTTGTCTAATATATTTTGGTGCTCTTTCGTTTGGTGAGTATATGTTAATGAGTGTTATTTCTTCTTGAAGTATTGTCCCCTTAATCATAATGTAGTGACCATTGGGGTCTCTTTTTATTTTTTTGAGTTTGAAGTCTGTTTTATCTGATATAAGTATAGCTGTTCCTGCTTTCTTTTTTGGCCCATTTGCTTGTAGGATTGTTTTCCATCCTTTGACTTTGAGCCTATTTTTATCTTTTGTAGCTAAATGTGTTTCCTGGAGACAGCAAAGGGTTGGGTTTTGTTTCTTAATCCAGGCTGCAACTCTGTGTCTTTTTATTGAAGAGTTTAGTCCATTTACATTTAGAGTTAATATTGATATGTTAGCATCTGTATTTGCCATTATGTTTGTCTTTCCTTTGATTTTATTTATTTATTCTTTTAATAACTTTTTTTTTTTTTTTTTTTTGGTCTTCTTTCGTTGTTATTCGTCCCTCTGAGGTTCTGGCTTTAGGATTCCTTGTAGTATTTTTTGGAGTGGGGGTTTAGTCGCAATGAAATTCCGGAGTTTCTCTTTGTCTGGGAAGGTCCATATTCTTTCTTCATGGAGGAAAGAGAGCTTTGCGGGATAGAGTATTCTTGGTTGGCATCTGTTTTCTTGGAGTCTGTTGACTATGTCCCTCCACTCTCTCCTTGCCCGTAGTGTTTCTTCAGAGAAGTCTGATGTCAGCCTGATTGGTTTTCCTTTGAATGTTATCTGTTTCTTCCCTCTTGTCAGCTTCATTATTTTTTCCTTGTCCTGGATTCTTGGGAGCTTTACTATTATGTGTCTTGCTGTGTTTTTCCTTTCGTCGTGGAAGTTTGGTGTTCTTCTTGCTTCTTGTATATCAATTTTCAGCTCCTTCTTCTCATTTGGGAAGTTCTCTTCAATTATCTCCTGGAATATTTTCTCTGTTCCTACATCTCTCTCCTCTCCTTCTGGAATTCCTATAACTCTTATATTTCCTTTCCTCATGGAGTCAGATAGTTCCCGAAGTCTTTCTTCATTCTTTTTCCTTCGTACTTCTCTTTCCTTTTCTGTTTTGGTTCTTTTTTTCTGTGTCTTCAAGATTACTTATTCGTTCTTCCATTTCATCTATTCTGCTTTCATTGCTTTTCCCAGAGTTCTTTAGTTCCTCCATTAATTCTTTGATCTCCTGCATTTCTCTTACTTCCCTCTTTAGGGACTCAATTTCCTTCTTCTGATCTATCACTTTTTTAATCATGGCAATTTTAAATTCTCTTTCTGGAAGGCTCAGAAGTTCTTCCAAGTTGCTGTCGTTGCAATCTGGGGAGTGGTTTTCTTTTTGTGGTGTGCTTCTTTCCTGAGGAGTTTTTAGGTTGCGTGTGGTTCTTCTACTCCCTACTGTCTGTTTTCTAATTTGTCGTATGCGTTGGGACACTGTGTTGCTCGGACTGACTGACATCTTGGGTGAACTTCTCCGCTCCCCTCTGGCTCTTCCAGGAGCCATCTCTGTCTTCTGGGGAGCTTTCTGCTGGTTTTAGGCAGTTTTTACTGAAGAAATGTCCCTGTTCTCAAATGGCGAAGCGGGATGCAGTCCCTGCGCCTCCGGTTTCAGGAGGCATCACACTCCCAGACTTCAAACTATACTACAAAGCCATAATCATCAAAACTGCATGGTATTGGAACAAGAACAGACATACAGACCAATGGAATCGAATAGAAAATCCAGAAATAAACCCACAGATTTATGGTCAACTAATCTTTGACAAAGGAGCAAAGACTATGCATTGGAGCAAAGAAAGTTTGTTCAATAAATGGTGCTGGGAAAACTGGGTCGCTACATGCAAAAGAATGAAGCTTGACCACTACCTCACACCATACACAAAAATCAACTCAAAATGGATTAAAGAACTAGACATAAGACCTGAAACCATAAAATACATAGAAGGAAATATAGGCGAAACACTACGGGATTTGCACATCAAAGACATCTTTACAGACACATCACCCAAAGCAGTGATAGTGAAGAGAAAGATAAACAGCTGGGACTACATCAAATTAAAGAGCTTCTGCACAGCAAAAGAGACAATAACAAAAACAAAGAGAAACCCCACCAACTGGGAGAACATTTTTGCACCCAACACTAATGATAAAGGACTGATCACAAAAATCTGCAAAGAGCTGATGAGACTCAGCAACAACAAAGAAAATAATCCAGTCAAAAAATGGGCAGAAGAGCTAAAAAGAAACTTCTCTGAAGAGGAAATGCAAATGGCCAACAGACATATGAAAAAATGTTCAACATCACTTGTCATCAGGGAAATGCAAATCAAAACTACCATGAGATACCATCTCACACCAGTGAGAATGGCACATATTAAAAAAACTAGCAACAACAAATGTTGGCGAGGATGTGGAGAAAAAGGAACTCTTGTGCACTGTTGGTGGGAGTGCAAACTGGTCCAACCACTATGGAGAGCTGTGTGGAGATTTCTGGACCTACTAAACATAGAGCTTCCATATAATCCAGCAATTCCACTCCTAGGTATTTACCCAAAGGACACAGAAACATCAATTCCAAAGAGCACCTGCACTCCTATGTTTATAGCAGCACTGTTTACAATAGCTAAGCTTTGGAAACAACCCAAATGCCCAAAAATAGATGACTGGATCAAGAAGATGTGGTACATATATACCATGGAATATTACTCAGCATTCAAAAAAGATAAACACATGCAATTTGCAGCAACATGGATGGCGCTGGAAGGGATCATGCTCAGCGAAATAAGCCAAAAAGAAAAAGAAAAATACCGGATGGTCTCACTCATAGCAGGAATCTAGAAAACTTAAATAAGGGACCAGGAAAATGAATATAAGAAAGTGAAAATCAAAATCAACAAAAAACTATGAACCAGAGACACTTTTTGGGGGGTGGGGGGCGGGAGGGGAAGGATTGGGGTCAGAATGGGGCGTTTGCAATTGTATGGGGGAATATAAAAATAAAATTTAATATTAAAAAAAAAAAAAAAAAAAAAAAAAGAAATCTTTTCTCACTCCAAGTGAAAATTCTCTTATGCTTTTTCCAAACAGTTTTGAAGTTTTGCCTTTTACCAGCCTTATAACTCATAGATAAGTACTTAAATCCTTGAGTTTTAGGTTTGGAATGAGGAGTAGATCCCTCTTCATTAGAACATGCAATGATTGCCTCACCATATGAAAAGAGCCTCAACCTTCCCCTCAGTGATCTATACCACCAAATCAGTCACCACCCAAAATGTGAAAAAGGAAAAAAAAAACAAACCCACACGACTCTCTCCAACTTTTTCTCCATCTATCCTGTGCTGCCCTCTTCTGCTCTGACTTGCTATTTTCTAGCCACAGTTCACAGCTAGAAATAAGCACCTTTTGCTTCCTGGGATTTCTCAGTTACAGGTGAGTTTCTCCTGTCCATCAATCTCTTACTTTTTGGGCATATTTAAGGTTGGTGTGGGGAAAGAAAGCCAATAGCTAGTGTTAATTTGCCTATCTTACCAGGAACCACTCCCTCATAAACAGGTTTTCTAAACTCTAATACCCTTATTCAATCCTCATATGATACTTTACAGTTTTCATTGTTAGAATATGACATTACTAGTTAGAACTTACATTTTCATGTAATGTTGAAATTTTAATTTATTGTACCTTATTTTACCTTGAGTTTGTGTTGATTTCCTCCTGGTTTATGTCTTCATTTATATGTGTCAAATCAGTGGGTACATATGTCTCCATATTTTCTGAACAAAATTATGAATAGCTGTAAAAAAACACATTCACATTGTCTTTTCAATATAAAAGATTTGATGACTATGACTATTACTATTCAAAACTGCATATATAGTTTCCAATTTCTCACTAGGCCTTATTTTAAATCCCCATTAACTTAGAGTATTTCTTGTATAATATCTAAAACCTTTATTCTACTTCTCCTTCTCAAGGCAGTCACTATATTGGCTAACTTCCTCTCTAAGACAATATTTTTCCATTCTTACATTGATAGGTGGTATATGTGTATATAATTTAAATTTACCTTAAATTCCATACTAAAGATAGTTATAAGCTTTAGGATTATCTTCTTGGAGAAAATCATCAGAAGAATTTACAGAAATCTCCAGAATCAGTAGCCTGAGCTGTTAAATTTATTTCATCACTTACTAAGCACACAAAGGCCACATCCGTATACTACCAGCATTCTTAGAATAGAACAGAACAACAGGGATTAGGTTTGAAATATGAAAAAGAGTCTGTCCAATTATTAGGAAATCTAGTAAGATACAGAAAGTCCCTAAATGAAAATGATACGCTTCATGGAAGTACATTTTTACTAAATAATTTAAGCCAAGATGCTAGCCTAGAATCAATGCAGGAGAGAAAAAGCTTTAACTGTCAAATAAATAATTCCTAAACAATTCAAAGAAGACAGATTTAAGCAGACCACGGCAAAAGCAGTTCTTGCTGTTACAGAAATGACAGAAATCTCTACATCAGGTATGAAACCAATAACTATAGTATCAATGAGGACAGTCTAACTAGTGATGAGATTTATAGTGCAGAAAGGGTCCAGTCAGCACACAAAGAGTGCCAAGAATGGCCACAGAAGGCTCATTCACAGCAGCAAGAACTGAAGGGGTCCACACTTGAAATAAACAATGAAGAAATGGATCTAGTGGGAGGTCCCACTAGGTTCAAAAGCATCCTTCAATCAAATTATTCTGGAGTCGCTATAGAGTAAAGGCCAACAAAATTCTTATGAGAAAATGTCCAAAGATAAAATCAAAGCTATCACACAGGTATCCATCAATATAACAAAAGAGAAGATACACTTCCCAAATGTTTTATTAATGAAACAAGGTATGATCAAAAGAACTGAGTATTTTTTTCTAAATCGGGGCTATTAATGAGAAAAGCAGAATTGTTTTGAGGAGAATAACATGTCACTTAATTGGGATTCAAAGTTAGTGTTACTTATTAATTGGTTGCAATTATTCTTTGTAAATCCATTTTGCACTTATTAACCAAGCAGAAACAGGTGGTAGGCCAGCTCTGACCCAGGAGTCATCATTAACAGCCCCTACAATAGAATATGTTAATCCCAACACCTGCTTTAACTTCAGAGTGAACAAAATACTCATGCCATGATCATCACCAACAAATATCCAATAATCATAACAAAAATTGTTTAATGCCACTACTATTCAAACTGCAAAAAATCAAATAAATTATTCTTTTTTCCTATTAGGCAACTGGAAAACATCAAGTTAACTGCATACTTCTCCACAGTAACATCCAAATGCCAGAACATTTTCTCAGGGGAAAAAGAGTGACTTAGACTTTTAAACAGAGCCAAGTTTTCATGTAAGGACTAATATAAGAAACATTTTCAAACATGTACAATTCAGGAAAGATATCACCCAATGGCCTCTCTTGTTAAAAGTACATAATAAAAAATCCCACCAACACAGAGATGAAGACAAAACACACACTAATAAAGAAATAACATAGAGAAGCATAAAACACATTTAAATATAAAACTAAGTCAAAACATCTATGGGACTTATAATTATAGTACAGAATTTTAATAGTATAGAAAAACTAGGAGGGCGGAGCAACATGGCGGCGAGGAGACGCTGCGAGTAAGATCTCCCATTAAAAAAAGTTAATAGGGAGGAAAAGCGGCAGGTCCCAGTGAGAACTGGGACACGGAAGATAAACGGACGACTCCAGCAAACTGCCCGAAGAAGAAAGCTGCCATAAAAGAGGACGAGAAGGGAGGGAAGCGCAGAACCCTGCTCCCCTCCCCCGCCCACAGAGGCGGCACTCTCCGACCGGCAGAGAGGAGGGAAACAACAAACCAAAACGGCCAACAAGAAAAACGGACACAGCAAGCGGGACTGTGAGTGGAAAGGAACTATTGCAGCCACCACACCCCGTGAACGGGAGCTGAGGCGAACCCTGCAGGATCCGCCACGGAGGTGAGCTCCAGGCGCCATTAAAGAGAGCCCCGCCCCCCAGGAGGAGACCAGCACCAGCACACAGCCCCGGCCGCCCGGCTGCTTGAAACTGACAGATGACTCCTGGAAGAACCAGAGGGGAACAGAGAAGCCCACCCAAGATGCCGGCCAGTCCCAACAACACAGTGTCCCAACGCATACGGCAAATTAGAAAACAGACAGTAGGGAGGAGAAGAACCACACGCAACCTAGCAACTCTCCAGAGAAAAAGCACACCACAAAAAGAAAGCCAGCCCCCAGATTGCAAAGACAATAACTTGGAAGAATTTCTGAGCCTTCCAGAAAGAGAATTTAAAATTGCCGTGATTAAAAAACTGACAGAAGTCATAAAGGAAAACAATGATAAGGGAAAAATAATCAACGATCAGATGAATGCAATTGAGTCCCTAGAGAGGGAAAACAATGGTCAGAAGAAAGAAATTGAGTCCCTAAAGAGGGAAGTAAAAGAAATGCAGGCGATCAAAGAATTAATGGAAGAACTAAAGAATTCTGGGAAAAGCAATGAAAGCAGAATAGATGAAATGGAAGAACGAATAAGTAATCTTGAAGACACAGAAATAAAAAGAACCAAAACAGAAAAGGAAAGAGAAGTACGAAGGAAAAAGAACGAAGAAAGACTTCGGGAACTATCTGACTCCATGAGGAAAGGAAATATAAGAGTTATAGGAATACCAGAAGGAGAGGAGAGAGATGTAGGAACAGAGAAAATATTCAAAGAGATAATTGAAGAGAACTTCCCAAATGTGAAGAAGGAGCTGAAAATTGATATACAAGAAGCAAGAAGAACACCAAACTTCCACGACGAAAGGAAAATACAGCAAGGACACATAATAGTAAAGCTCCCCAAGAATCCAGGACAAGGAAAAAAAATAATGAAGCTGGCAAGAGGAAAAACAGATAACATTCAAAGGAAAGCAATCAGGCTGACATCAGACTTCTCTCGAAGAAACACTACGGGCAAGGAGAGAGTGGAGGGACATAGTCAACAGACTCCAAGAAAACAGATGCCAACCAAGAATACTCTATCCCGCAAAGCTCTCCTTCCTTTTTGAAGAAAGAATATGGACCTTCCCCAGACAAACAGAAACTCCGGAATTTCATTGCAACTAAACCCCACTCCAAAAAATACTACAAGGAGTCCTAAACCAGAAACCTCAGAGGGACGAATAACAATGAAAGAAGGCAAAAAAAAAAAAAAAGTTATTAAAAGATAAATAAATAAAATCAAAGGAAGACAAACACAATGGCAAAATACAGATGTTAACATATCAATATTAACTCTAAATGTAAATGGACTAAACTCTTCAATAAAAAGACACAGAGTCACAGGCTGGATTAAGAAACAAAACCCAACCTTTTGCTGTCTCCAGGAAACACATTTAGCTACAAAAGATAAAAATAGGCTCAAAGTTAAAGGATGGAAAACAATCCTACAAGCAAATGGACCAAAAAAGAAAGCAGGAACAGCTATACTTATATCAGATAAAACAGATTTCAAACTCAAAAAGATAAAAAGAGACCCCAATGGTCACTACATTATGATCAAGGGGACAATACTTCAAGAAGAAATAACACTCATTAACATATACTCACCAAACGAAGGAGCACCAAAATATATCAGACAACTGTTGTCCTCTCTGAAAACAGACATCAGAGAAAACCCTATGTAGTGGGAGACTTCAACAACACCACTATCAACAATGGATAGATCAACAAGACAAAAAAATAAGTAGAAACCAAAGCTCTAAATAAGGACCTAGAGCAATTAGGCTTAACAAACATCTATAGAACACTAAAATCCCAAAAAAACGGAGTACACATTTTCTCAAGCGCACACGGATCATTCTCCAGGATCGATCACATACTGGGGCACAAGACAACATCAACAGATACACCAAGATTGAAAAGAATACCAACATCTTTTCTGACCATGAAGGCATCAAGCTAGAAATAAACCATAAAAAGAAGGCAAGGAACTTTCCTACCTCATGGAGATTAAAAACCACACTACTGGAAGACCATTGGACTAATGAGGAGATCAAAGAAGAAATTAAAAAATTTTTTGAATTGAACGACAAGGAGGACACTAATATCCTAAATGTATGGGATGCAGCAAAAGCAGTAATAGAGGAAATATATAGCAATAGAAGCTCACATCAAGAAACAAGAAAGAACGCAAAAACAACCTCATCTCGAAGCTCAAAGATCTAGAAAAAGAACAACAAAAAACCCCAAAACCAGTAGAAGAAAAGAAAATATAAAACCAAAGGCAGAAATAAATGAAATTGAAACTAAAAAACAATCCAAAAGATCAATGAAACCAGAGCTGGTTTTTTTGAAAAAATCAATAAAATAGACAAACCCCTAGCCAGGCTCACAAAGGAAAAAAGGGAGAAAGCACAAATAAACAGGATCATCAATGAAAGAGGAGAAATCACAAACGGACACAGCAGAAATCAAAAGAATCATCAGTAACTACTATGAACAGTTATATGGAAACAAGTTAACAATCTAGAGAGATGGACAAATTCCTACAACTCTACAATCACCCAAAGCTAGATAAAGAGAAATGAAACACCTAAACAGACCAATTACAATTAGCGAAATTGAAATGGTAATCAAAAACCTCCCAAAAACAAAAGCCCAGGACCTGATGGAGTTACAAATGATTCTACCAAACATTCAGAGACGAATTAGTGCCTATCCTTCACAAACTCTTCCAAAAAATTGAGAAGGAAGGACAATA